CATTTCAAAAACGCCCTATCTCAAACGAAAATACATTGAAAATAAGCTGATATAGGGCGTTTTTGAATCGGCAGCTGAGATAGGGCGTTTTTCAATGAAATTCTGAAGTAGGGCGTTCTTGAAAAGTTTTCTGAGATAGCGCGTTGTTAAAAAATTTTCTGAGATAGGGCGTTTTCGAACTGGTTGCCGAGATAGGTCGATCTTCCACTCAGCCATCGATATACTCTGTAAGATTCCTTTCAGTGATCGGACTTCTACCACATTGTTGTAGATCTGCCACTTTTTTGAGCACACCTACCACACAAGGTCTGAAATCTACCACATATTCGCGTTTTTGAGTAGTTTTATTTTTGCTCAACATAATTTTCTTAATTTTAAGAGCAAAAATTGTCCAACACTAAACACTAACAACAGGCAGAATGGGAGGTTAAAATAAACTGTAAAATAGTAAATTTTCTCAATATTCAATTTTTCGACATCAAACGTGGTTTTATTGTGTTAAATTGCAAAATATATGATTTATAAAAAGAATTAATAGCAAAATGATAAAAACCGGCGATTTTTGTGAAAGTATTAGCACATTTCAGCGCATCTCAAATTTCTAAAGCGTTGTTTACTTTTACTTGAGAATTGTCAAAATCGGCAAATCCCAAGTAGCATTTCTGGAACGAGCCACATTTGTTCCCTACATCGTGATGTGATAAAAAGAAAAGTTGGCAGCCCTCCGCAAGGTTGCAGAAATCTTTCAAAATATGTTCTAAACTGTCAAGGAAAAAAATGCCAAAACTCAACGCAATTTTTATCAACTTCAATCTTGCACTTTATTATACTAAAATTAATTTTGTTTTAGATTCTAATTAAAATGTTTGCAATTTAGGTGAAACCTTGCAGATTTTTTTTAATATTTGTACAAAGTTTGATCCAAAGCCTGAGGTCTACCACATTTTTTTGAAATCTACCACATTTTTTTCCAGATTCTACCACATAAATTTTTTTTAAGTCCGATCACTGATTCCTTTGCCATTTCTTAAAATAAATTATCAATTTAAACATAGTTGTAAGTAGTGAAATGTCTTATCTTGAATCACATACATATATACGTATTTTTCACCGGGTAAACAGAAATAAAGTTGCGAGCAAGTGCGTCACCCTTTGAAAAACGCAGTTTTTGACCTTAAGCCCAGATTTTGAGGGTGTATTTAAAATTCTGGGGATGCAGATTTTACTGCTTGAATAGACCTACAACAAGTGTGAACCTCGAAAAAACTATATAAATATTTTTTTTTGTCCCACAGTGTAATTTAGATCGTCTTTAATAATCTGTATATCGTAGTTTAAAGTACAAGACCGCGTATAAACAAAATGCAAAGCCGCCTATGTGTGGTTGCGTAAATTATTATCTAGATAGTAAAAACTCATATGTCAAAATGGTTCTCTTTTTTATAAAGCAATCGCATTTCTGGATAATATATTTCAGGACGAATGGATAGGATTGAGCCAACAGCTTCTGTAAGCAAATCCAATTTTTTGCAGCAAATGTCTGTTACGTGATTTTGACGATACGCGTTTTTTTACTTTATACGACGATATGCATGTATGTATATGTGTGTAGCCAGCAAAAACTGCGGAAAGAGATCCGAAAACTGAAAGAAAGGTGAATAGAAAAGTACCACGAAGGGTTGTGCAACGAATTATTTTCCAGTTGGTTTTCTGAAATTTTTCATTCTGAACTTCACATATGCTTTTTCATAGTTAATTGTACTCAGAAATTAATTATACTTTTATAAATACTTTTTAATATGTTCGTCTGCCGGCATAAGAACCTGGGACCTCATGAAAGCTTACAAATAGCCGCACGCTTCTCTGCACANAGTTGTAAGTAGTGAAATGTCTTATCTTGAATCACATACATATATACGTATTTTTCACCGGGTAAACAGAAATAAAGTTGCGAGCAAGTGCGTCACCCTTTGAAAAACGCAGTTTTTGACCTTAAGCCCAGATTTTGAGGGTGTATTTAAAATTCTGGGGATGCAGATTTTACTGCTTGAATAGACCTACAACAAGTGTGAACCTCGAAAAAACTATATAAATATTTTTTTTTGTCCCACAGTGTAATTTAGATCGTCTTTAATAATCTGTATATCGTAGTTTAAAGTACAAGACCGCGTATAAACAAAATGCAAAGCCGCCTATGTGTGGTTGCGTAAATTATTATCTAGATAGTAAAAACTCATATGTCAAAATGGTTCTCTTTTTTATAAAGCAATCGCATTTCTGGATAATATATTTCAGGACGAATGGATAGGATTGAGCCAACAGCTTCTGTAAGCAAATCCAATTTTTTGCAGCAAATGTCTGTTACGTGATTTTGACGATACGCGTTTTTTTACTTTATACGACGATATGCATGTATGTATATGTGTGTAGCCAGCAAAAACTGCGGAAAGAGATCCGAAAACTGAAAGAAAGGTGAATAGAAAAGTACCACGAAGGGTTGTGCAACGAATTATTTTCCAGTTGGTTTTCTGAAATTTTTCATTCTGAACTTCACATATGCTTTTTCATAGTTAATTGTACTCAGAAATTAATTATACTTTTATAAATACTTTTTAATATGTTCGTCTGCCGGCATAAGAACCTGGGACCTCATGAAAGCTTACAAATAGCCGCACGCTTCTCTGCACATAGTAGCTGAATACGTATGTATATGTACATGTTTTCAAATGTTCAGTTTGAGCAAATGTTTCAAAATTATTGTTTTCAAATAACATGATATTTTTCGGTAGTTTCCGGATACGAATATTTTATTAAATATTAAAATTTTACTAAAATTGTAAAATACAAATGTTCACAAGCACGAAATGCCAATACCGCTCACAATATTTTTATATTTGTCACTGGCATTTGTCATCAAGTGGCAAATTAGATATTTTGCGTAATTTTTATTTGGCTTATGTAGCAGCATTGCCGTCACACGATTTGGCCACCAGGGTTGTTTTTCATTTGCCACAAGAAGGCAAATATTAGGCTTATCTGATAAATGACAAATGTAATTTAGCGTTCACATGATTTGTCTATGAATTTGACAAATTTTTAGCCAAATGTACAAATCGTGTGATCCCTGCTTTAGTTTTGTGTTTTAAAAATGAGATAAATATTTTTCGCCTCACTTTATAGCCCGGAATAAAAATGATGCCAATAACAGAAATAAACTATTTTACATACATTCCACGTGCAAAGTCATAAGTGAACCGAACATTTGATGACTTTATGATGAAGATAATGTAAAGAACGCTAGCGCTCGCAGTGCTCTTAAAAAATATAACTCTTCCGAGTGAGAGAGTATTTTGATGGATTTACGAGCTCTATTTTTTAAAACCTACAAGTGTGTAATCACATTATTTTTATAAATAGAACACAAGAAAATATTTTACTTTTATTTTAGCCACTCTGACTTTGGTTTTTGAATTCACCCGCGATGCAAATTTACATTGTTAGATCTAATTTTCACATTTAATTTTTTTACGAGCTTTGGGAATTTTTAGAAATGTATCAGCAGGGGGTTCACCGAAACCAGTAAATTTTTGAAAGGGGTCTACGAGAAAAAAAGTTTGGGAACCTCTGCATTAAACAGACAACATAAATTGAATTACACGGTGCTACAAAAAAAGTCATAAAATGCACACGAAACAAAATCTAGTTTAGGTTGTATGTTTGGTCGAGTACAACATGAAAATAGGTCCCGTATAGTTCCTGACCCCTCCATTTTTTATACCAAAAAAAACGTTATGTGCTTGGTACACTTATCTATTTATTGCTTGACAATTTTCTATCCGATTTTCGAACAAGTTTTTAAAAGAGGATTTATAGAACTGTAAAACGATGTATAACAATATATTGTTAGACTTAACTTATTGGAAGTTTTCATCGGTTCAATTTTATTTTTCATACTTTTTTTCAACTTTGATCATCGCTAATTTCAAAAATTTCTATGAAAGTAGCCAAATATGTGGTATTTATCTTAAAGAACATTTATTTTCGAATAAATTGATACCTAACGCAATGGTATAAAAATTGTCGAAGTTAGGCAATTTAAGCTAAAATACGGTCTTGAATATATATGCGTGTAACTCAAGGCTAGGTAGATTTCAGGGGGAGTAATTTTTGTCCGATTTCAAGAATATTAAGCAAGCTGCTTAAGGAGGGCAGGCACAATGTGTATATCAAGATCGGTTAAGTAGTATTTGATATACGCATATTTGATAGAAGTGGGCAGTGCCACGCCCATTTTACTAAAATTATATGAAAAATAAATTTTTTGCTTAAGAGCTATTGTATAATTCTGAGTAAATATTGATGAACTCCTAAGCGACACAGCTCAAAAAATCTGAAAGTCCGGTACATACATACACGGATATACATACATAAATTCAAGGCCGTGTTTAGCTTTAATTGCTTAACTTCGAAAATTTTTACACCACTGCATTAGGTGAGGTGTCAATTTATTCGAAAATCAATCTTATTTTAGATAAAAACCACATGTTAGGCAAGTATCATAGAAAGTTTTGAAATAAGCGATGATCAAAGTTGAAAAAAATTAAGTAAAATAGGGGCTCATTAAAATTTAATCGAAGAAAACTTCCAACAAGCTAAGTCAAAAATTATTGTTATACATCGTTCTGAAGGTCAATTAATCTTCTTTTAAAAACTTGTCCGATTCTTAAAATCGGATGGAAAATAGTCAAGCTATTAATAGATGAGTGCATAAAGTACGAAAATAACAGTTTTTTGGTATAAAAAAATGGAGGGTTCAGGAATTATGCGGGCCTTATTTTCATGTTGTACCCGACCATACCTACAACCCACACTAGATTTTGTTTCAAGTGTATTTCCTGACTCTTTTTTGTAGCACCCTGTTATTTAATATACATTTGAACGTACTTATCTATGCAAATGATAATGTGACTGAAATTCGAATTTGATTTATTTTTCCACAGATTAGTTCACTTAAATAGCAGTACAAGTTTACAAATTCAAATTCGATATGAAGTTAGCACAATCCTGGATACTCTTCTCGTATTTAATGAGGACTTCCACAGGCCTTTAGCCACGATTTCCCTGCCTGAGATTCCCGTTAAAACTTTAAATCAAATCATATCATCAAATCAATATCTAATGCTACCAAGACTCTCATCGCAACAAGTTATGGAAGGTAAGTAAAAAAAACTTTGAGATTTTTCGGTATGCCATTGAGCTACATACTAGGGGCCAAATTTTTTCGGCCCGGCCCGCCACGAGGGAGGTACACATATTCGAAAACACACATGGACTTCTACGAAATATATATTTTTTTGGTCTTTTATACAAGAAAAGTTTAATAATAAATTTCTCGTTGAGAAAATTAAATACATATACTTATCATAATTTTCTTATAGGCGCCATAGACGGAGGTGCGTCTGACTCGCAAGTCATTTGTGTACGTGTCGACTCGCCTTTCGACTACACACAGTTGAGTTGTTCAGAGTCATGCCCGAGACATGTCGATGTAACTAATACATACCCAATAAACATTCGGCTTGGTTAACAATTCGAAAACGATCGGAAAACCATTATTTTTTCGAGTCTTACCTTGGATAACGAATGTGAAATAGGTTAGTATTCGCTTCGAGAACTAGGCCATTCTCCAGCAAAACGGAACCTTCGTTATCCAATGTATTTTTCTTTTGTTATGAATTCGAAATCCAGCCCATTATCGAATTGGAATTTTAATGTGAGAGAGTGATTTTCTTATATTTCCCTCCGAGAATGAGCTGGATTTCATTTTCTCTCTTGTTACTATGGTTTCCATTTTTTTTCGAACCCATCTCGAGTGTATTTCCAATATACTATGAACGTTGGAAAACTAAGATGGTTTATGGGTTGGTTCTCAGTTCGATATTCATATTGGATATCGAATGTCATTTTCGAACGTTCGCCAAAATGTTTATTGGGTATTTATTTTCACAAACACATCCAAACTAACTCGCCAGTCAGACGCACCGTGTATGCCGCTTATTAGAGATTTTCAAAAGTTTTTCCTCCTTTCGAGTCACTACACTTTAATTCAATTCAATTGAATTCATTTATTTATACTCTCGACACTATATATATACTCGACACTAACAGACTTACATACTAAGCAATAGTAAATTGTAAATTAACATAGGAGTACAATGATTTAATAATAGATTTAAATATCGATCCTGTAGCCCGTTTCTGTAACTCTTCTCTACCGATTGTTTCTCTACTGGTAGAGAATATACGTTATTCTCTACTACTCATTAGCAGTAGAGAACAGGGCGGCGAATTTATATCTCAATTCGCCTTGGTAGAGAATTGTTACAGAAACGAGCTACTGGCATTGAAATCTCCATACGTAAATTTTTTCAAACTCCTTAAGTGCTCTAAGGATAGTAGGTGCAAGTGAAAAGTAATCATTCGAGCTCGGATATTTATGCAAGTGATTATTTTTGTTTAACATCACAGAAAGTCCGAATCTGGGTAGATATTCATTATAGGAGGAAGTGAGTTAATTTGTACCTATTATGTGTTGCATATTTGAATATTTTTGTGTATATTTTGCATATTTTCTATAAATAAATTATTATAAGCATGTCACTTTGATGACAGCTCTTGTTAACTCTGCAGTCGACATACTGACCTCCTTCTGCCTGAATAGTGATGCCAAGCTATGCCAGCACAGAACAAATCTAATTTATTTGTGGTATGAAGGCAAGCGCAAGCGATGCTGTGAAAATCTTTTGCAAGTTCGCCTACTAAAGCCCAACACCTCCTTTAAGTACAATTTGAGACTGTCAAAAAAACAATGGCATATCTTAGGGCATCTTCATTAGCCACATTTCTGGCAACAAACCAGTTGTACCTCACCAGTCGAGGGAGAGGAAGGTGTGTTAGATGACCGATTAAATAAAACCACGTCGTTTCGATAACAATGCCGTACCACGACTGACTTTCGTCAGCTCTTTATTGGTCTTCGTTCCCTATTACTTAGCGGGTTTATATCTTAGTGCGAGAGTGAGACATAATCAACAAGCTATTATAAATAGTTTTGTAACTTAAAGCTAGAGTGTGATGAAATATATACAACTTAATCTAGGTGTTGTTTACAGTAGTAACTAGTGATGACCGATTTATGTTTGTACATATATGTATAATATCGTATATGTACATATATATATAAGATCAACTATAAAAATTACAATGCGTCAATTGCAATGAGATTTTTCATTTATCTTGCTTAAATATGCGTCCAGAAGACCTAGAATATTTGCCAAAATCGAATATCTCGTATCGCTGCAGTGTTTGTGTGGATGTGCGTAGAAGTTCTCTTCATTCCCCTATGTGTAATGGATGATGCAGAGTCAACAAAGCAAAAATTTGTCGCTTCGGGTATCTCTAACTCACGGCAAAAACAACAATTGTTATGTGATGAAACAGGTTTTCGTGATGCGCAAAAACAACCTCAACTATCAGCTCTCATTGTGTCACTAGAACAATGCGGAAAAGCAGAAAGTGATAATAGGCAAACACACTCTTTGCAAACTGTGTTTGACGAAATTATCGCTCTTAGAACCGATAACGCTAAGTTGCTGGATATGATTGGCACGCTGCTGGTCGACAAGAATCTCTTAACGCAAAGAGTTGAGGTCTTGAGCTCAGAGTTACAATTAATATCGCGTAATCTGCTCACGAATACTAATGAAATCAAAAGTTTTCGTGATAGTGTGAATAATAATAACTCTAATACGCCAGCGCCCATACATAAAAAGAATGTGCACTCTCTATGTACTAATGCCGCAGTTAACATAAATTCCTCGCCCTTTGCTCAACGTACGCCTACTGCTGACCATATTACTTCAGCTGCACCCTCCACCCCTACCGGTGCTGCTTTGCTGCCTTCCGCTGATTCTGTTGTTTTGGCTGCTCCTTCCCCTTCTGCCGCTGCGCTTGGATCGTCTTTTACAAATGCTTCACATACTCTCCCCTTTGTCTCTGCACCCCCGCGTGACTCTCCTGCTATTCGTCACTACGTCTGGCTTTGTTGATGCTGCCGCTAATGTGCCTATGCCATCCACTTTCGCTTCTACGCCATCTGATCGTGTCTCCAATACCCGCACGGATGCACAGTGGGAAATAGTTAAAAACAAAAAGAGCTCGCAAGGTAGTAGTTGGCCTAAATAAAAATTCGGATCTTGATGTTATTGCTACAAAAAAATTGATCCATGTGTCATCATTCAAGCCAACAGTATCTACAGATGACATCATTTCGTATGTGAGCAGGAATTCAAAGATAAATAAAGACTTATTGGAATGCTATAAGCTAGTAAATATTGATGCTGATCTTTCAAAATTAAAGAGAGTTAATTTTAAAGTTGGAGTTCACTTTATGATGTCCTCTTAAATCCATTGCTTTGGCCGGCGGATGTGAAAGTGCGCCCATTCCAATTTTTTCAAAAAGTGCAGAAAAATCGCTCTAACATAAATTGTGAACTGATCCCAACACATTTTGCAAACACACCGCATGCAAGGGGTAAGGGTAATTCCGCTCTAAAAATTGATTATCAAAACGTCTCTGCTATGAGAACTATAACTACGTTCACATATCAATATTATCACAATCAAAGCTCGTTTTTTAATCACCCCGTTTACACAGGCAAATCTCAGATTATTAGCCGTCAAATTTGTTGTGCTTGTTATTCTCACATCTCAAGGAAAAGTTATGTTTCTTCTCTGTGGCACCGTGATCACGTTTTTATGCTATCATAGGCAATATAAATATATTTTAAGTTAACATTTTATTAAAAATATCTTTACAAACCTCTTTTCCTTGCTAGCGTACATTTTTGTTTACTTTTACATTTGGCATTTCACCTCTTTTTTGCAAAGACAATCGATAAAACTAGGATGGACACCGAAAAGTTATCGGTTTAATCTGAGATTATTTTATAATTACAGATTAACAAGGGACGAATTTTATATGGCTAATCTCTTGTTATAATTACAGATTAGGGTGTTAAGCTCGAAAATTCGGATAATCTACTTATAAGTGAACCTAGTATAAGCTGAAGGCTGTTACTCTGTTCATAGCTCAATGCGATTACGATATAATTGTAATTGTCGAGACTTGGCCGAAGTATGTGACCTGAAACTTTATAATTTATACCGGAAAGACAGAGATCCAATCAAAACAGGAAACGCTAGAGGTGGTGGGGTTATTAGTGCTGTCAATCGTACACTAAGCTCCGATCTTATTGCTCTCCAAAATGAGGACTCACTTCTGGATCAACTATGTATCACGGTTAGAAGTGATGTGGGCTTGCTTTACATTTGTGTATCATATGTATATTCCACCACTCAGTTCTGATGAATTATATTATGCACACATCGATAATATAACTACTCTTGCGCAGAGCTCCGTTGGTGACAACCACTTATGCGTTTTGGGCGACTTCGATTTATCACAGGTTTATTGGTCATATATAATTGATGTTAGTTTTTTGACCCCTGGCAACGTAAATAAATCTTATGAAATTTATGTCATAGATAGTCTCTATGGTCTCGAGCTGGCCCAAATTAACTACTATAAGAACAAAATCTCACGAATGTTAGATCTTATCTTTGTAAGTAATAACTTTGAGTTCAGCCTGTCTGTGTGTCTTTCCAGTTTCTGAATCAAGCATGCACCATGTTCCTTTAATCCTAAAGATAAATTCTAGATAAATTTTTATAAATTTCTTTCTAGCCCTTCAGCAGAGTGCAACTTAGACTTTAATTTTAATTTGTGTGATCCAGTTCACTTAAATAATTTGCTATGTGATATTAATTGGGAGGACCTATTCATGCTGGTTGATACCTGAACTTGTTATGAAATCTTTCTAACTGAAGTATTGAAGATATTTAAAGAAAATATTCCGATCCGGCTAAATAAAGTTTATAAGTTGCCTTGGTATACCAAGGGACTCAAAAAATTGAAAAATTTAAGGAATAAGTTATGTAAAATGTATAAAACCACTAATCATGTCGAAGCATATAGAAAATATTTGCAGTATATGAATGAGTTTAACTGCCTTAATAAGTTACTTTACAAACAATCCATTTTACAATGTGAAAGTCAGTGTTGCCAACTTTTGAATTTCAAAAAGCACCAAACCT